ACATGGGCATTTTGCACACAGGAAGTTGCAGTATCTATAGAATACAGACACTATGCTATAAAACTAACGGCTTCCGCTTAATCGGGGATGATTGTCTTCTGCTGCGCTAATTGTCTGATGGCAAGCATGCGCTCCAGTATCGGTTGAAATTTCATCATCCGTGTCGGATGTTAGTGAGCGGATTGCTCGACCATCTGGCTGACCGGTAACAGCGTTGGAAAATATGTTTACCCGCGCGCTTACCGAACGGCTGATTGCTTTGTATCAGTATGGAATAGGAGTTGGGAGGTCATTGGACTTATTAATCGACTGGGATTTCGTGAACCATGAAACAAGCCGTTCGCAGCTCACACGATTGTCACCTCTCACAAGAACTTCGTCCTCGTCGAACTTGAATGTGTGGCCGGGCGTCGTCGAATGAGCTGCGACAGTTCCCCGCACTGCCACCCGTGTCAAGTTATTCGCGTCCAGGGCAGTCTTCCAGACTCTCCGACGCAGTGGCTTTGCCCGTAACTGCGCCAGATGTGATAAAGGACTCAAGAAGTTTCTTGACGTGGCAGTGTATCTTTTGGTCTCACTATGCTTGTAGCAGCAATTCTATAAGTGTCCCGGGTGGTAGGGTGAATGGATACGTTCAGCCTCGAAACCAGGAACTACATAAAATTACTTCTTCATCGCAAAGCTCCACCGGAGAGCTGTACAGCAGGTGTTGCTTTAGTCAGGTTTTTGGTCCACAGGTTCTAGTTAAACTTGCCGCACACCAATTACACCAAGAGGAACCTTTTTCTACCTACCGACAGCAGCAAAAGTAGTATTAAAACGCAAGACAATGGTGCTACATAGCACCATTAATAACATCGGTAACAACGCCCATCTTTCTCAGCCCATCTGAATGATGGCATGCGGGTCGGTGGAAGCACAGGTCGACATTTGTGGGGTAAAGGACGATAAAAATACAAACTGCGCTATGCTTAACAAAGGGAAGAGAGTGCGTGCCTAGGTCAACTTCACAGGTGACATGCATAGGCCTCAGCCAAACAAGTTTAGAAAATCAGCATTAATTTTCTAAGTGTGAATTGTTTTCTGGAAGGCTATTGCACGGGCGTAGGAGCTGTAAATAAGACGGAAGGTGGTAACAGCTTGTCGCAACATAGAAGGATCACCATCGCAGACGCGAGGCTCAAAGTCAGTGGCACAAGAGTAAAAATGGGAGTGCTAAATCCGTACTCACTTCCGTAACATGGCATGAAGTTGAAACATGATTGACTGGAGGACGGCGCGATGAGAGCTTCGTGTAGGACGATGGAGACGCACAAAAAACTGAGCAACACGTGCTCCGGTTGGATCGCTGTCATTCTTTGGAGATAAAAATAAAGGCTATAAAGAAAAAAAGCAAGTACCAAGATGGTGAATTTTCCCGAAAGTAGTTCACGCCGCGTTTCCTCCTCCAGCGGGTTGATGGAAGTAATACCCTCTGCCTTCAAAAAGGCCTAGACAGGAGAGCACAAGTTGAGTAGACAGATGCTAGACATACCAAATGTGCTGCATGCAAATCAACAGCTTCGCCCACGTTGAACTTGCGCGCCGCCAAATATCTGAAGGCGAGGTCCTCGTTCTCAGCTGTGGCTGGAAGTCTACAATACTTGAGGAAGTCTGCCACCATCTACAAGAAGTCAATAAAAATCCGTCTGTTTAAGAGAGAAGACTGGGGGGAGGGGAGGGGGTAAATTTCTGATAGTAAAATAGACGACAAAAACTTGGGATAGATGTTGGATGTTTCAGCTGAAAGAACGAAGAGAAGAACATGGGGACAAAAGGACCGGAAGAGATGGAGCTTAAGGGTAATCGAATAATCAGGCGAATGCTCAGAGCAAGAGGTAATCACACATAAGTGGATAGTCTGTATTTTCGTGATCAAAGGCTTTTGAGGCAAACCTGGGCAGACGGGAATGGACAATCCGAATAGTAGTATTCTGTCGGCGCGAGAGTAATGAGGAGAAGACTAATATAGTTAGTGAAGGGCAGATAACAAAAATGCAAATATCGTGTTTCGAAAGCTGACTTAAATGGATGCACGGGGTACATATTTGGAGAACGGCAGGTGGGTATGGACAAATAAGACAACACAGTTAGATAACCTGTGTACAATTCTGTATCAGAAACCAGGAGTATTAAGTGCAAAAGATTGACACGACGGAAACATAATAAGAGCACACCTAAGCCTTTGAGCTTGGGGGAAAATGAACGCCGTATAGTAGGCATTGACGCAATACAGATACAGATTTTGGCAGAAATTGTCCACGGCTAGTTCTATCCGTTAAACAAACTCTGAAATTGAACGTCTTTTTATCATTCACACGTTTTAGAGGCCACCAAATCGAAATGGCTAAAACGGCGAAGTTTTTCGTCGTAGGTTTCAAAATTCTAGCCATAAACCCTCCACTTGTGTAGGTCAAGGAACGAAGGTGACGACGGAACCTCGATGAACAAGTTTAATCCGTTCCGGCATCGAGCTCGTCATGTGAAACGCCCGTCTTGCGGAACGCAGCCACTCAAACTGCATAAGTTCGCTGGTTGGCTGCTGGGGACCGAGGACCCACGCCCCAAGGGCAAGACTCAACAGCGGACACACGCACTGACAACTCGTTAACTGAGCAGAAGTTCGTCAAACGAAACAAATGTTCTGCTAGTGGCTTACTCGTTACCTGAAATGCTCGCAGATGGGGCTCCATTGTATTGACAGTACTTCACCTCGGGTAAATAACAACGGCGAATTACGTGCACTGCTGAATGACATGGTATTTTGATTGACTGCAACACATTTTATTTGTTTAAGAAACTGTCATCTTAAAAATATGTCTACCTGACATGAAGTCGGACTTGCGGATACTGGTGACGAAGAGGATGCAAAAGGACGATATCGGTGGGTCATAACCAGATGAGGGTTGAACAAAA